TTTCCGCTTGCTCGTCCGGCAGTGAAGGACCCGTCTACGTACATCACCCATGGCTTCTCGACTCCCAGTGTGAATTCGACGATGAAGTTCGATAGTACCTGCCCCTTTATTGTTGTTCGAGGTTGGTAATGAACATCGTATTGCCCAAGTTCGACCGCCCATTTGACTATCCGACCCGAGTCGGTGGAGAATTTGCCTTAAGGGATAGACTGTGAGGACGGTTACTGAATATTCGAGAAAGTATGGTCTCAGCTTCCGAGCTGCGGTCACGAGGGCGAACGCCAGTTTTTCCATTGGGGCATATCTCAACTCGGCACCGTGCAGTGTTTTGCTTACATAATAGACGGGATATTGGCACGAGGCCTCTTCTCTGATCAGAACGACACTTACGGCGACGTCGGAAACTCCTAGGTACAGATACAACATTTCTCCAGGTCGGGGCTTCTGCATTGTTGGAGCCCGAGTTAGCACATTCTTGATCGTTTCCATCACCTCTTTTCACACTAGGGAGTCCAATTGAACTTGAGAATTTTTTTTTTTATCGCTTCGAAGAATGGTTTGCACCGGTGCGTCGATTTGGAGATGAATCGGCTAAGAGCGGCGAGTTTCCCCATCAAACTTTGAACTCCTTTGATCGACGTCGGAGATCGTGAATCGCTTTTATTTCTCGGGGTTTGCGTTAATGCCGCACTGGCTAACGATGTAGCCTAAAAATTTTTCGAGCCGACACCAAAAGTACATTCTTTTGGGTTTAATTTCATCGAATAATCACGCAAAATGAAAAACATTTTATTAAGGTCGTTTACATGATCAACGCATACACGGATTTTACCAACATGTCATCAACATAAACCTTCATGCTAACACCTATCAAACTAGCAAACATTTTGCTAACTAAATGTTGGTAGGTGGCCCCGAAATTCTTCAACCCGAACGACATCATTTTGTAGGCTATAAGGAGGAGGATGACGACTTGGTCCCGAAGCATCGCGGAGAAAATTCAAATGATCATATTAGCTGATAGATGATAAATGAACTTCATTGTATGGCTGATGACAAAACTAGTTGAAATAATAATATATAGTGTGTAAGTTAACTGATAAGTTAGTTTATATTAAAAATTTCAACAAATTTTTTATTTTTTGAAAAAAGCTACACATTCAAACTTATGAGATAAGCTTTAATTTTTTTTTTATTTTTTTTTTTTTAAAAAAATAGTCGGACAAATTCAAAATTATTTAAAAACAAAAAGCTTATGAACAAACTAAATAACCTATAAAAACTAAAAAAGAAAAAATATTGTTTCATTAATAGTCATATAACATTAATTTTTTTTGACAATTAAACAACTTTAGCCAGCTTGGTTTGATTTATTGATTACTCAAAATATTGTATTGGCATAATTGATTAAATAAATTATTTATCTTTCATTAGCATTAAAAGCTTTGTGTAAATATTGGAGAGTTAATACATACAGTCCTGTGTGTGACCTAATATTTCACACCTTAAAAGCTTCAATTCCATTTTTTTTATGACCTTTAATTCACTTCATTATTGAATAAATTATTAATTTCAATTCCACTAGGACGTGTACAAATTGAGGCTATCACCTAAAAGCCTAGGAAAAAAATGTATACTTATGCTATAAAATATCATACGATTATTTGAATATAATATTTTAATTTAAATGTACAATTGTATAACGTTAGATTTGCCTAACAATAACACTGAGTGAATGAATTTACTTTGTTATATCGAAACTATATAACTTGAATGGATAATTGAAAGTTAATGAAAGTAATAATCTTAAATTCTTAATATATAACAATATAACATAAATGTTAAAAGTGTAATTATTAAATTGTAATAATCTTAGTATATAACAATTTAGTCTAAATGTAATTATGGCAAGGGAACAAAAAAAAAAATTTAAAGGAGTGGAATTTGAAGTTTTGTTGACTGATGATATTACTTTTTATTTTTCTTTCTATTTATCTATTTATTTATATCTATTTATGTTTTTGTTTGGGTTAGGCCATACTAATTTGGTGGGCAAGGCTACGATCCTGTTACGAAATAATTCTGTCGGGATTTGCAACCGTTAGATCAATTATCACCAACGGTTACATGATGATTTAACAGTTACAAATCCGACAAAATGATTCCGTAAGTATTTCCCCTAATTTGGCATGGCATGACAACAAGTCTGATGAAGTTGACTTCTGTGTACTCCTCTTTTGGATTCTATATATATATTTGCACATGATGCCACCAAAAATTGTTAAAATGGTGTACATAAATTATTTTATTAACATAATTGCTCATAAATATGTTATATATATATATATTGCATTTTTTACTTCAAAACAATATAATAATATGTTATATTTAGGAAATAATTAATAACAAGTTTTTTTTTTTTTTTTTTTT